AAATGAGAAACAAAAAGGTAGGAGAAACCACTGCGCATCTAGCCCTCTTGCTGGTTTACTTCTCTGAAAAGCAAAAATGAAACAGGTTCTGGTGTTTCAAGGAGATCCTTACTGGCATTCAAGCAAGCACGGGCAGAGCTGTTGTGCAATTCAACACGTCAAAATCCACACTGAGTAGGCGAGGCTCATGTGCCCAGGAGATGCAGGGGGCAGGCAGGACCCCAACTCTTTCCCCATTTTACCCCCTCAAGCATTCAGGAATATCCCTGAACAGCTCTTTAGTGGTACACATTTCTGGTTCTCCTGGCTCAACAGGTGGTCTGGTTGAAATAGTACCAATTCAGGTTTCTTTTAATAATTTGTGTTCCTTATAATTCCACACAGTGCTCAGCTTTTCACTGGGCCAGTTTTCTTGGCAAGACAAAATGTCTTGAAAGCTTTGAGTGCTTTCTTAATGCTCTTGTGAATTGCAAATCCATTGAGTGAACAAGGGACATGAGGTGCTGAAATGAGTTCATGGGATGCACTATTGTCACCTGGTCTGGGGAGATTCCCCATGCAGCCAACGATACCTCCAGATGCATCCTGCCCTCTGAGGACACCCTGCCGTCATCCCCAGTCTAAGTTCAGAGACAGCATCAGGGGTTCCCCTACGTACCATTCTCCTCCCAGTTTGAGAAGCTCACATAGAGAAGAGAGAGCAGCAAGAAAAAACAGAGGTTGCAGCAGGATGGTGTAAAATCCATTTCATCTACATTTTGTAGACTGCCAGGTGCCTTTCATGCTGTCATTCATTCATTGATAGAATCAGGTTTTGCACAAATGCTTTTTGTACATATTTAGGCAAACTTACACTTCTGAAGGCATGGGAATCTCCTTTTTCAGGGCGGGCTTGTTGGGGTGGTTAATGTGCTGCCTACAACAAGTGGCCATGGGTTCTAGGTGTCTTCTTAACTACCCCAATAACTCACAGTGCCCAGGTTTAGGTAAAGCAGCAAACCGCAGCGCTCCCCTGCCATGGCTCGAATTTTTAAATTGCAAAATGGAAAGTGTCATGGGGAGATTCACCCAGTGCGGCTTGCTCTTATTTGAGGACCAGGTATTGTATAAATTTTGCCTGATTCCTTTTTACAGGAAGGAAATGTCTTCAAAATATTTTCATAAGGTGTCTTTTCACACCTTAGCCTTTGAGAGCAAATGCGTGTTTTTGGTTGCTCTGATTTGCTCTGACCAAATTTGCATAACATTTAAAAAATAGCCTGCAAGTCTGCAGAATCTACATGACCCAGGTAAAGGCACTCTACTGCGGAATCCACAGGTGAGAATTTTGGAAAACTGGGCTCACTGGTGCCAGCTGTGAATTTTCCTGACCTCTCTAGTTCTGCTATTTTGGATGAATCCAAAGATGCTCTGCTGGCCTGATAGGAATATTCTGGGTGCTGAATTAAGCTTGTGGACTGGACATCCCTCTTTCATGTGGAACACACCCCGTGTGCTTGCTGCCCTGCCCCTTGATGCCTGATCAGTCAGCACATTCATGGCTGATAAGGATTTACCAAAACGTCAGCAGTCTCCAGGGCATTGAACATGTAGTTGTTGTTGTTGTTAGTCGCGCGGTCATGTCTGACCCATTGCAACCCCATGGACAACATTCCTCCAGGCCTTCCTGTCCTCCACCATCCCCTGGAGTCCACTCAAGCTCACACCAACTGCTTCAGTGACTCCATCCAGCCACCTCATCCTCTGCCGTCCCCTTCTTCTTTTGCCATCTATTGTTCCCAGCATTAGGCTCTTCTCCAGGGAGTCCTTCCTTCTCACTAGGTGGCCAAAGTATTTGAGTTTCATCTTCAGCATCTGGCCTTCTAAAGAGCAGTCACGTTTGATCTCCTCTAGGACTGACCGGCTTGATCGCCTTGCGGTCCAAGGGACTCGCAGGAGTCTCCTCCAGCACCACAACTCAAAGGCCTCAATTCTTGGTGCTGGTAGCTGATAAGCATCCAATGCCACAATTCTTTTGTCTAGGATGTGACTTCCTTCTTAATGCACCATTTCAGAGTTCCTGATTTCCTATGGATAATCTTGTTTTCCTATGACCCTCAGCACAGACTTGGCAAAATGTCTGAGCTACTTTTATAAGTGTTTGTGGCCACCTAAGTTTGGCCTCCAGTTAAAGCAAAGTTCCCACCTCTTCAGTGAAGCCACTACCATGTGGAGAGCATATAAACACAACTTTTCATTGCATGTTATTGCAATTGCTCCCAGAAATACCATGAGCAGTTTTCTAAACTGATTGTGCCCCTTCTCCTTTTCTTTCCATGACATTTCTGTACCACCCATAGCTGAAGCTCTCCAGGCAGTTCACTGCATTAAGTGGCCCATCCAGGCTTGAACTTGCTTAGCTTCCAAGATTAGGCAGGATCAGGTGCTTTGAGCTAAACAGAAGCTGCATAGATGTAAGTACATACAGAGAGCTTTCAGTCAGCTCATCACGTGAGCTGAACAAACCCAGGGTATAGAGCATGTTTGTTCCTGGCTCTGGAGGAGTGCAGGCTTTGGATGAGATGCCCTCAGGGGCCATCTCCCTCAGGGGGGTCCCTCACTGCCAGGGAGGGGAGTCTGGTGGCGGTGGTGGAAGGGGAGATCTACTGATGCTCCAGTGCCATGTGGGGATCTTGCGGCAGTGCTGCAGAATGCTGACGTCTGCAAGTCAGCGACATAAGCAAGTAAACCTGCAAGGTTTATGCGAGTGGAACGGAAAGTCTAGTTGGATGGGGCTCTTGGCCCCAGGTGTGATCAAATCCAACACACCCGGAAAGGCTAGAATCACTCAGGGAAATCCAACCTGGTTGGACTGGATCTAGAAAGGGGAAGCTTCTCAAAACTGGAGGGGTTTGGTGAAAGGAAGTTGAAAAGGAGGGTTCATGAGGGTCAGACCTTATTCGGGATGCTGGGGGTGATTAACATACTAGTCCAAACCAGGAATGAAGGCATAGCGCAGTTTAAGGAAGCTGCAGGACATTCAAGAGAATAGCAGTGTGGTTAGCAACCCAGACCAAGGAAGAAATACACACCACGGGTGTTTCCTTAAAATATGGACGTCTTCTCAAAGAAAACAAAACATGCTCTGGGAAAAAGAAATGTAGGCTGCTAAGAGAGTAGATTTAAATAGATGGGGGTGTGATGAAAGACTCTCTCCCCACATTCTCATCTACACTTTTGGGCTGTAAGGTTGGAGTGGGGGCACCTTCAGAACATTTAAGGCTATGATGGAATAAATCAAGAACAGGAACACAGTCTTTAAAACAAGCAACAGCAAATGTGCCTTCTTTTCTTTTGAAGAGTTTTGCTGTGGGTTTCCTGTGCTGTTAGTGTCCGCCTCCATCAAAGCTGATGTGTAAACAAAAATTAAATTTATGTTATCTTCTTATGTCCTTACAGAAAGAAACAAAACCCCAAATGTCAGGAAAGGTTTCTGCAAATGTGTGACAGGATGTGTGTGCTGGCGTGCTTGTCCTTTCTGAACTAAGTTTAATGCTTAAGTGATGGGTGAGGATGTAAGCCAGTGAAGCTGCACCATTAAGTTGATTCCATAGGGTCAGACTCCTTAGTCCTCTGTTTTATTATGCCCTCTTAAAGGTGGAGGAGATGCGCCAGAGGAAAAGAGGGTCCTATGCAGAAGCATCATATGGAGTCCCATCGGCTATCACATTTTAGGGATGACATTGATAACCTAGGAGGAAAGCTAAGATAGTGAGGGGTCTGGAAACCAGGTCCATGTGGGAGCAGTTGAAAGGCCTGTAGGAGGTCCGTTTGGGTGATGGTTGGCTCGAAATATCTGAGCAATTGTCAGTAGGGGGAGTAGATGGGGGACCTTTCTCCCCTACGCACATGTCAACCTCTTCATGTCCTGAGATCAGTTCATAGGCCTGCCCTTGAGCTCAAATATGTGACTGGCACAAGTGGTAGGTGCTTTTCAGTGGTGGCCCCACAATTGCTAAAGAGGAGAGGAGGAAGACTATGTAAGCCACCTTGGGTTCCTTGCAAGAGGAAAAAGGCTGGGATAGAAAGGAATAATATCATCACCAGCAACAACAGTGCACACGCGGTCCCACCAGTACAAGAACTGACATGGATCTTTTAAAAACTATTTATCTTAGGCTGGGTTTCCTGGCCTGAAATATGATTTAGCTGATTTTGAATGGTTCTGTTGCTAGTCTTTGTATTGTTCTAGGCTGCTGTTTTAAGTGGTTATTTAATCAAAATATAATCTTATATGTTATAGTTGTTTTTAAGTGTGTATGATTGTAAGCTGTTTGGAATTAATTAAATACATAAATATTCTTGTTTCCTTTTCCCCTAATTAATTTAATGTAATTCTTTTTGGGACCTTTCTCTAATTTTCATGTTCTTACCAGAGCAGCTTGCAAGCAGCCTCTTGAAATTCCCCATCTTATCTGCAGGAAGAGCAATTTCAGGGTGTTGGTCAAATTTTGAAAGTTCACCAGATTCCCCTTACGCCTTATTGCAGCAAGGCAGATCTCTAGAAGATGTTGGGAAGATGTGATGTGACATCCTGAAGAGTGGCTGCTACTCATTGTAGACCAGCTTTGTCCAACCTGGAACCCTTCTGATGTGTTTGACCATAATCCCCATCATCCACAAGTAGCAGAGGAATTATTGGAGTTGAAGTCCATCACATCTAGGGGTGTAGGTATAAGCCATGCTGACCTAACTGGTGGACCATTGGTGGGATTTTGTATATGGCTTCCTCTGGTTGAATAGTCCATCCCAGGTGTGACATGAATCCTGCCATTAGCCAAGGTGTAAATAGTGGGTGAATTAGGTAACCATGGCATGGGGCAGGTTTTTTAAAAATGTGCTACCTGTACACTTCTACAAACATAATCAATCTCTATCAGTGCTCTTATATCGCAACATCCTACAAACTCTCAGGAAGTCCTATTAAGAAATTGTTCTCAGAAAAAGAGCTTTTAGGAAATGAGTGTAAGCAGCTGGTGGTTAATCTGTTTGCAAGAATTCCTGTGAAGTATAAATTTCTCTTTCATCCTATTAAAATACCTGTACCCTGAGATTAGTTCTCACATCGGTCCTGAAATCTCCAAGGAGAACCATTTCCAGTGGGTTAAAGGAGGTAAGTGCACTTGTGCCAAGAGAACTGCAGGAAACTGATTGGAGGAAGAGCAAATTGGAAGCACTTTTCATTCCCACAGAAGGTGAGGTCTTGGGATGGAGAGTGAGGGGAGGTGGATATCAAAGCCATGGTAGATGTCATGTGAGTCCTCTAACAAGAGCCTTAAATGGCGGGAGGCAGAGCAATGCTGGACTTCAGTCTCTCAAGCAGAAACAAACTTCCAGAGCCTCACACCTGATGAGTCTGTCAGTTTTACTTTCTTCCTTATTTTCTCTATCCTGAATATGAAGAAATTTGTGGATTTTGGCATCTACTTAGTAAAAATGAACTCTCACTCATCTGACCAAATCCATTAAGTGCATTTTTTTCCAGCATGGAGAAGACCATGTATATGGTATGGTATGGAGATGTAAACACAAGTATAAACTTGACTCACCTAATATATTGATGACCAAATAAGTGGAAACTCTCAGGAAAAAAAACATCCTTAATTCAGCACTAGCTTGGTTGCATATGCAGAAATCCAAATCCATGCTTTTAAGGGCAAAGCACGTAAGATGCTCTGTATGGATGGGTGGAACCCTCCCTTTCAGCATCACCCCCAGTTTTTTGGACTTTTTAAAAATATAAGTTCATTATGTCCCAAACATGAACTTTGTGCCAAAAAAGAACTATAATGAAATGGCCACCGTGCCTTCTTGCATCAGGGAAGCAAAGAATCAGAATATGAAGGTCTGAGTCCACCGCTCTGCCAGGGCACACAGATGCTGGTAACTACAATTCATTCCCACCTCGTTGGTGAGCAGAATGTGGGAGGGCATAAAATATGGAGAGAGATGAAGAGGAGAGAGGATGCAATGGAACTTAATGCCTAGTTTAGATGCTCGTTCAGAACGATGAGGCAAAGCCACAGAAGAGAGATCTACCAACAGCTCTGGCTTGCGATAACTATACGAAACCTCCATGTTCAGATAATGTGTACTTCTGACCAACAGAAGCTGTGGACAAAGGACATCTGTGCTGAGTCTGTGGGGGAGTTTCCTGAAACCAAGCAGGCACTGGAAGCTATGCAGAGGCATGGTTTCGACCTAGAATGATTTCCAAGTCGATAATCAGATAATTTTTACTTCAAAAGCCTTCCTAATAATTTATGCTCTAAATAATTTTCTGAGGGTTAGCCCAGGCCATCTGTTGCAGCAAAAGTAACCAAGAACTTGGTGGCAGCTTGAAGAGCAATAAGGGCATGATCCTATCAACCTTACCTTCAGGCTCGTAAGCCTCCAAGCGTGGAGGCTTATGAGCGCCCAGCGCAGAGTAGGAGGAGTGGCGGAGGCAGCCTTCACCTCCAGGCACCTCCTGCTCTGGAGCTCAGCTGCATGGTTGTGTTCAGCCATCTAGTTGCAGTGCTTTGGAGGGGGAGGAAAGAGGCTGAAGTGATGCCAGGAGTCCCGGCATCCTGGGGGCTCCAGTCTCCCGTCGCTACCCCTATTCCGCGCTCGGAGGCGACGTTCCTGGCCTCAGCGGAACAGCTGGTGTGGTTCGCTGTGCTCCAGCTGCGATGGGAAAAGGAGGATCAGAGCAACATTTGTAATAATTACAAAACTTAAGGGTGCAATTGGCTGCACGTTTAACCAGAGAGAAGTCCAGGCTTTCCTCCGCCAGCATAGCTTTTGCCCTGAATGTATATGAAATAATTACAATGACCATTTGCCAAGTCATGCCCATTCCAACACATTTGTAAGGTCATCAACCCCTGTTGGTGCTCTGTGCCATCAAGTCGTCTGGGACTTATGGTGACCCTCTGAGGGAAAGTCCTGTCTTGGACAGCCCTGCTCAGCTTCTGTAAATTTGAAGCTGTGGCTTCCTTGAAGGAGTCCATCCTTCTCATCTTTGGTCTGCCTTTTCTTCTCCTGCCTTCCACTTTCCCAAGCACAATTGTCTTATCCAGGAGTTTTGCCTTCTCACATCAACACCTGCAGTGGGATAAAAAAAAAAACGCCTTTCCTATTTAGCCAGCAAGGGATAGAATTGGATTTCCTGAAAAGCTGCTGTTTAGTTGTTTGATGAAGGAGTGTCCCTCTACAGTACCTTTTTTCCCAAGAATGGGCAGAAATCTGACCAGAAGGATAAAAAACGCAAACCAAACCATGAGCTTCTCCTTCCCTTTCGCTGGCCAGCACATGCCTTCTGGTGCTGCCCGGCTCCACCCTCAGGCTGAGCTGCTCATGCACACCATGAGGCTTTCAACTGAGTCGACGCAACCAGGATGGAGAGTTAGGTTCTCTGGCACCCTGCCATTCGGTAGCACTAAGTGTACTGTGGACCCGCCTCCCCACCCCACATGTTCTCCATAATGTTTTGTAAACCTTCTTGCGATTTTATAATAATCAGACGGTATATAAAAATTTGAAATAAATAAACAAATCTCCTGCTGATTTCCATATCTCCTGGATAGCTCCTCTCTTATGCTACCTCTGCTTGGTTATTTCTTCTCCTCTGAGAATTCTCTCCCCTTTTCCAGGGCCCTGTGGTCACAGGAAGCATGGCGTGTCCCCAAGCGATGAACTCCAGCCAAGAAGAACCAGTAGACAGAACTCTTCTGAACCAGGCCCTGGGCGTCTTCATGTTGGTGTCCTTCCTGGTGGGGATCACACTGAACGGGCTCCTTCTCTGGCTACTGTGGGCCAAAATGGACCGAACTGTGAATATTCTCTGGTTCCTCCATTTGACTCTCTCCTACCTGATTTCCTGCTGCTGCCTGCCCTTCTTTGGCATCTCCACCTTCTATTCTCAGTGGGTCTTCGACAATTTTTCCTGCAAGCTCGGCAACTTCTCCATTACCATGGCCATGTTCACCACTGTCTATCTGCTCACCATTATCAGCCTGGACCGCTACCTGCTCATCTGCCACCCCATGTGGTCCCAGCGCCACCGCACAATCCCCCGTGTGCGGTGGATCATTGCAGCAGTGTGGGTCACATCGCTGTTTCTAAGCTCACCATACTTGGCTTTTGCCAGCATTAAAACGGTGAAGGGCAGCAAGGTCCACTGTGTAATCGATTATGCTCTCATCAGTAACTGGGATAAGCATGCCGTGTACTTGTCTTTCTTTGTGATCCGGAGCCTGCTAGCCTTCCTCATCCCCTTCTTCATCATCATGGGCTGCTACTGTCTGATGTGTAAGGAGATAAAGAAGAAAAGGCTGATGAAAAATGAGAAGCCCTTCAGAGTCCTGTTAGCGGCTATATTGTCGTTCTTCATCTTCCGGTCTCCCTACTACATCTATGCCGGTTCGTGTCTGCTGAAGGCGCCCATGAACTTGCAAGCGTCACTGTGGATGGTTTTCATCATTGGAATTTGCCTCAATATCTGCTTCACCCCTGTACTCTACCTCTTTGTCGGGCAGAAATTCCAGCAGGTCTTCAAGACCTCCATCATTGTCCTGCTCAGGAAGGGCTTCACAGAAAATCCCATCTGGTCAAGGCAAGAGTCTAGTACTGTCAACAAGTCCAAGGAGAGTAAAAACAGCAGTTGCCTGGAGCCGCTGTCCCCGCTACCTTCTCCCTGAGCATGCTGCCCGGAGAGAAAGAGGCTTCTGTACAAGCAGTGAGAGCGTCCTCTTGTCTGCACTGCATCACATCAGGAGGTGCAGGTCCTGGCTTCGTGCTTACACAGGAGTCCTGCTTTTGCATTCTTCCCAGCAGGAGGTTGGCCACGGTGTGCACAGAAGGCTGGGCCGGATGTGTCCCTGGTCTGATCCAGCAGGACTTTTCTTACATTCTTATGCTTTCCCAGAAATGCAATAAATATACACCTATTTGGAGTGACTTTCTTTCCTGATTCTGTCTTTGTTTACATATAGATAATTTGTGGGTGCAGAAATCAATGCAGTAATCGAATGCAGTTATCAACCACCTATAACGATACAAGAGGAGAATATAACACTGGTTCCAAACCACGTTCCAACCAAATTGATAAAATCATAGCATGTGGCAGGAAGAACATGAATGGGGGAATGACACCAAACCCCCCGCAATTCACATGTTTAAAATGGGAAACAGCAAATCCGAGAAGGAAAAAAGGTGAAAAAAAGTTTTTACCAGTCACGTGAAGGCATTATGAGAGTGTGCTTAAATGGGAAGCAATGCCACCTCTGTGTCGCCGCCACTGCTGGAAAAGTCCTTTGTCCCCTAGGCAGCATCTAGGCAGCCAGAGGAAAGTTTGGAGTTCATGCTCTAGCCCGGAAAGCTTGCTCCCAGGTGGGATTCCGAGTCCAGGGCATCTTCCCCTCACTTTCAGCTGGTAGAGGAAGAACCGCATCAGTGCACCTGCAAGGTTGCCAGGGTGACCTCAGAGAAAGGGTGTGGGGTCTTCTGCCAAGGATGGAGAAGGGGGGAAACCAACAGCACCGTGCTGCAAAGCCTCGTGGAGGCCCCCCGCCCTCCAAGGGACTTCAGCTAGAGAGTCACGATCAGTCGTCTGCCTAACTTGGGGGGTGGGAGGGGGGTGAAGGTGATCTTCCCCTCCATGCTCCTCCCACCCTCCATAGGATGCCTGCAAGTTTGGAAGGCTATCGGCATTGCCCACGGACTGCACCCTAAGCAGCCAAACCCCTCATCTTCACGTCATCATCTCACTTCTCATACGGGAAACTGCCATTTGCTTATTTCTTCATTCACGGCATGTTTATCTACTCATAACACATGTTCTGTGGGCAGACTGCATATCGTTAAAAAGTAAAATAGAGTTTTGTTTTCTTAATTCTAGGTAGTCTTCCCACAGAGCATGCCTTCGTAGCAGATCAAAATTCAAAAAGTTAAAAAGGTGAAAGGAAAGAACAAGAATCAAAGCAAAACCCCAAAAACAAATTTCAGTGAAATAGAGCTATTAGCCACGTGTGGAAGGGGAATATTTTGGTGCAGAATCAAGGAGCTCTAAGGAGGGATGCTGGTAAAATCGCATCCTGTGTTTGAATGTTCAGACATGAGTGCCAATACTTATTTTGTTAAAACTGCACCATCCTCACACATCAGGAAGGTATCAGCAACCTCTGGAAAACCTTGAGATTCTCAGAAGTACGCAAAATCTTTGCAGGCAGAACAACACTAAGGTGGCAAAAACAGCCCAGAGCATAATCAGCAGCCAGAGAATGGCGACTGGATCTTTGGAAAAAAGGTGGAGAGGATAATGCGATGCAGTGAGCTTGCCAAGAGCAATTCTGTGCTGCAACACGTTCCTGCAATTCCCCTCTTGTACAGTTGCAGTTACTGTTTCTTCCATTTCTATTCCAATTTTTGGCCCAACTGGATCGGCACAAGCCAGAAGTAGAGGCTTTATCTGATTAGATGAAGGATGAGGCCATCAATGGATCCTGGCCCTGAGGGCGCTATGCTACCTGCAGTGTTGCTGGAAAATGCAGCTGGGGTGTGTTCTTGCTCTCTCTGGTTTTCCACAGGCAGCTGGCTGGCCACTGCATGGACAGAACGTTGGATCAGATGGGCACTTGGCCTGATCCAGCAGGGTGTAAGTTCCTATAATCAGGAAGAGGTCTATCAGGAGGAGTAGGGCTAGGTTCAGTCACATTCTTGCACAGGAACAGCACAATCCTATGGCCATGAGACATCATCTGGGATACGTTTGGAGCCCCTCCTCCAACTTCAGGACCTGACTCTGAGCTGGGGCTTTGAACTCAGAATGCTTCCCCACCCCTGCACCTTCAGAGACTCTGGTTGCATCTTCAGACACAACAGGGGCTGAAGAGGCATCAAGAAAGCTCTTATCCTGAGCTTTGCAGTGTCCTTCCTTGGATGCATAGCCAGAAGCGTGGCTTCTAGATCGAGGGAGGTATTACTGCCACTCTATATGACTCTGATGCACCGCAACTGGAGTACTGTGCTCAGTTCTGGGCCCCTGGGCGCTGGAATCAGTGCAGCAAAGGGCCACTAGGATGGCGGCTGGTTTGCAAAGTAAGCCATGTGAGGAGAGACTGAGAGAGCTGGGTCTTTTCAGCCTTGAGAGGAGGTGACTCCAAGGGGACCTGTTTGCAACGTACAGGTATGTGAGGGGGTGCCATGCAGAGGTGCACCATGACCTTTTTTCCCCTGCGGTGGAGGACAGGACACCTTCCAATGAAGCAAAGCTCAGGGAACCAAGGTTCCATTTGGATGCCAGGAAGTACTTCCTGATGGTTAGGACCCCGAGGGTATGGAATGTGCTTCCATGGGAGGTGGTTGAAGCCCCATCGGTGAGGGTGTTTAAGGATAGGCTGAACATGCACATGTCATGAGTGGAGCTGGCTGGAGCTGGAGTCAGACTAAATGGCCCAGGAGGCCCCTTCTGATTCACTCTGTTTCTATGTTTCATCTCTGGAACATCTCCTTTCCTCTGCTTCTCCAAAGTTGCTTTCCAGATCTCGGAGAACAGCTGGTGTGCCAGCTGTGAGGGTGGGTGAAGGAATGATTCCCAGCTCCAAGATCTTCAGCCTCAGAACTAGGAATCTGAAATATACTTCATGGCGGGATTTGGGAGGAGTTCTAAAAACAAGGTGCCAAAACAGAGGGGCCTGTGAACGTTTTGGACCTGTGTTGTGCAGTATGTCTTGAGCAAGGCGATTCACCAGAGGTTCAGATCCTTGTACAGCCCTAATGAGTTATTTATGTATCTGTTTCTTAGATTTATAGTGAGTAATGAGCAGGTGATGGTTTGTCCACCACAACAATTCTGTTCTCATGGCTCCGAAAGCCACAGTTGCTAAAGGAAAAAGGAGTCCTATGAGAAAAAAGGGAAAAGACAAAGAAATGGCACATGGAGCCCCTCCAAGAATGCTGTAAAGGGCTACTGCGAGCACTCCAGTTGCAAAAGAAGGCCCAGTCATGCACTGTGGCTCCCAGGACTTCTTATCACATGGGGATGTGTTGCAACTTTTCATGTGAAACACTGAAAAAGGAAGGAACTGCAAGTTACAGAAAACTCATTTTGGTAAGAACTGATGTGACATAAACACCTTTTGTTTTCTCTGTAGAGGAGATGCTGCGCACCTCAGTGCCGTTTGCTCAGTAGTTCCATAAGCAGAAACAAACAGCAAAGCCTCCAAGGACTGCATTTCCTGATGCTGGAGCGAAGTGGGGCATGTCCTGAAGAAGGCCTGCTGAGCTCCCCAGCCTTCTGCTGCAGAGAGCGCCACGAGCTGAGGGCTTGAGATGGGGAAAGGTTGAAATCCCAGCATGGAAGTGCAAGGACAGCCTGCCTCCAGGCATGCTGACTTCAAATCCCATTAAGTTCCAGTCACCATGGCCAATGTGCAGGACCATGGGAGATGTAGTCCAGAACCAGAAGAGAACTGGGCTGGGAAAGGAGTGGCATCCATATTGCAGTGGTGGCTCTGGCCCCGTGGCTCCTCCTTGTCCTCAGCCCTGCCACGGCCACCAAAGCCACTGGTCCTTGGTGCCACTGAACTGTGGAGCCACACTTCTGGTCCAGCTCTGCAGGGAGCTGTCAGCCCAACAGCTAACTCGGAGGGCTCCTCCAGGCTAGGAGGAGCGGGGCAAACAGGCCCTCTGGGAAAGCCTTCCCACGGTTTCCCTGTAGCAGTAACCAGGTCTGCTTTCTGGAGAGCCCACCTGTCTCAGTGCGAGGGCCCTTCTGACCGGTGCAGGGAAGAGAGAAGCAGGTGGCAGCTTGCCTGCTTTTGGGCCACCGGAATGCCACTCTGCCTATCCCCCAAGAGAGCTGGTCTTGGCGTCCGTTACGGCAACACAGTGATGAACAGGAGACAGGAGCCAAAGTGTCCTGCACTCCTTGCAGCAGATGTGATTGGCTGCCCAGCTGATAGGCAGGATGCGAGTGGAAAAGGGACAGAAAGAGGAGGCAAGAGAGGGCCATGAAGGGAGGACAGCAGAAGACTTAGCATCTTAGACTGCATTTCAGCCATGTGGTTTGGCTCACCCGGGGCCTTTGCATTGTGAACAGGCTAAATTTGTTCTCCAGAAAAATAAAAGTGGAAGTCACTGAGTAAGTTAATAGAAAAGCCACATTTATTCATCCAGAAACAGATGATAAGATTTGCAATGAACTTTGTCCCCCCAAAATTATCTCTCTGCATCAGGGATCAGTGATACGGCTGGCATGGACAGAACGGTGCTGGCTCCATCCCTTAAGTCATAAGAGCAACTTCAGAGAGGAGCTTGTGGGATCTTTGCAGGCTGGGCACCTTTCGCATCCATACACCTCTCACCCTCCACAGGACAGCTGGAAGCATCCAAATTTAAAGGGGACAAGCATCCTGACTGGACAGCATTCTTAATTTATTCAAGTCATCCATGGCAGAAGCTCTCCTTACAGAAACCCAACAGCATTTTAAGTATGGCCCCTTCCAACTCTTTTATTCTATGATTCTAGGGTGAAAGGCAGGATTTACAGGCATGCGTGTAATACATTTTGAAATACATTCTCAATATTAAAAAAAAGTTCTATAGGAAAAAAAAGAGGGGGGAAAGGCGCTGCAGTTAGGAAAGGATAAAGTAAAAATCTCTGTCAATAAAGAGGACACAAATAGTATTACAAAGCTGCATTATGGCTTTAGAAACTGTAGAAGCAGTTCCATTTATCTGTAAAAGTCCTGTAAGTCTTTGTTTAAAGTTTTCTTAACCTGCTAGTTGGGGACAAAACATGGATAACTTGACATCGCCTGATGGTCTCCCTGCAGCCTACGCCAAAAAACTTCCTCCGATTTCCCAGGGATTAATCCCAGCTATGGGAAGATTTGATCCAGGCAGATAAGACGTTTCTCTAGCAACAAAGGTGTCACATGAGTAATTGTAGTTTACTCATGAGTAAATCGTAGTTTACTCAAACTGGCCACATTTTTTTGCAGGCAAAGGTCTTGTGGCTTTAGCTGTCACATGACAGTTCAGCTTTTGACAATTATCAAGGGATATAGCACAGCAACTGCTGTAATTAGTTTCATTTTTCAGTGTTCTGCACTTTGACAAGAGACATGTTCCAGGACTACTGAAGTGCAAGATCTTTTCAATCTAGATCCCGGTAAGTGGGCAGGTGCAAAAGTCCAAAACAAGCTTTTTTAATGCAATTTGTATAAATTACAATTTACACAAATTTCAAGATGATTTTTTAAAAAATTGCTCAACTTTTTCCTCTTTACCAGGAAGTACTGAAGCTCCAGAATTAGAGAAGCAATTCTGAAACTTGGCATCTTGTAGACCACTCCCAAGGTTTGCAATTTCTTTTGACAACTAAAGGATTACTAAAGGAATGAATGCACTTTGGAATGTGGGGGTAGTTTTAAACTTGGCTGTGATGCTCCACCTGGTTTACAGGTATAGGAATGCATTCTTGAGCCTTGGCAGCTGCTAGTATTTCTAATTAAATAACAAGTGTGAATAACTATAAATATAAATGTTGCTAGGTTTGGGGAATACCATAGACATTGTTATTTAGGATTATAATTGAGTGTATTTATGAAAATTATTCTTACCAAAAAAGGCTATTGTATCCTGGATGTCTCCCCCTCTGTGCAGAATATCATTTCAAAGAAATGGAATAGACAACCTAAAATTATTAGTTTTTTTCTCCACCAAAACAGGCTTGAAGGAAACTGAAGATGTAATTATTCACTCTCTAAATTATTTGCATTCCCAACTCAATTGGTCTTCAGACCTTGAAGGGAATATTGGAGCTCTAGCTCAGGCTTCTCCAACCTGGTGGCCTTCAGAGGCATTTGGACCACAAGTTCCAGAATTCCCATCCAGCAGGGTCATTCACTGGGAATTCTGGATGTTGCAGTCCAAATGTGCCTGGAAGGCAAACGGTTGGGGAGGGCTTCTCTAGCTGGCGATTCACACTCTGAGAATCTCTGGACAAAGCTAGCACCAGCAGTTTCAGCGTCAATACAAATGACTGGAAAGGACTTTCAGTTGAAGGAATTGCTGTGTAAACCAGCTACTAAGCAAGCTCAAAATGGGAGTGACCCAAATAAGAAAAGCGAGAGTGGTCCAGATAATAAAAGGTTCCAGAAAGGGCCAGAGAAACCTAAGGGTGATAGCTCTCTAAATGGAGACTCCACTCGGTTGTGCCAATGCAAGGCTTTCGTACAGTGATGAAGGATCTTGGAGGCTATTAAATTCTTTCTTGCAGAGTGCAGTAATCTTCTAACTGTATTAATTTTTTAAAAACTTACATGAGTCTGATGGCATGGCTTCAGGGAGGTTGCTCAGTGTTTCAAATAAGGCACATAAAGGTTTAAAAGGAAAGGGGGTGGGATTACAACTGGTGACGGCTTTGCTAAACCCCAAAATGAAAGTGCATCTGGCCTTTCCTGGCTGCCTGTTTTACCCACAGCACTGCAAGGTGGAGGGAAAGGCCGAAGGATAGTTTTGCAGAAAAAGAGCAAAAACATAAAAATTGCGAAGAAGCTCCCAACAATATAAGAAAATTAACTTTAATAAACTTTTAAAGTATCCGATGACTTATCCAAGGTATTATTGAAGTCACTGCAGCCAAGTCTTAAGAACTGTGAAATGAAGCCAATAGTCCAGAGAGATTTAGATCCTATGATTTAGACCCTACAGGGGAAATCTAAATTAAGGAGCTGCATAGGCAGAATTTAAGATTTGCTGCCAGAAAATTGACATAGTGCAAAGGTTGCAAGGTTGTGTGGTTAACAACCTTGAGTATGCTAGATCCTGTGTTAACCTCTAAAGCAAAATATGAAGCAAGCTACCATGCAGTTGGAACCCTAGCAATGTGCTTATGACAGGCAGATTGAACCAGAGAATAAGAAGGAACTCCTCAGACATGGTCTCCGGCTCAGAATTGTCACAAGTTAGTTTTTTCTAGCCTGCTAAAACCTGGGGGGATGCTTGCACAGTTCCAACAGACACCCTGCCCCATACGTAATAAAAAATTCCTCAAGTACTAAGTACCAATGATATACCTGAAATACTTTATGTCCTGGAAAGCAGGTTCTGGGTGCCGTGGAAAGACAGCGAAACACTGGTTAATTGATTTGGTTCTTTTGCATTTTCTCTGTCAAAGATGGAGAAGGTGGCTTGTGGAATACGATTCCACATGGGCCAAATCAACTGAGCTGGGATTGAGTACCACGCACCACGACCTGGCTATGCTCCATCCTGATGAAAAGAGGGATCTTCCCCAGTCCTACCTGGAAACGTCAGGAATGGAAATTGTGTGCACTGTACCCACTCTGTCGCTGAGCTTCTGCCTTCCAACCAACCATGGCTGGCTTCCTGGACATGCTTACCTACCAGTAAATTCTATTGTGCCACATGGCCCTTGATTCTGAGGAAACACATTTCAGATTGTGTTGCGATTGTTCATAAACACATTGGGGACTCGTACAAAGTACAAAAGATTCATGTTAGGGTGCTGCTGAGGACTTGCAGAATAGATCCTTGGAAAATTGGGAATTCCTCTCCAATTCATGGAATGCAAAAGCCATCACTGGGGGTTAAGACCCTGATGGCAGTGGGAGGGGGGAAAGAAGCAGTTTGGAGCCTGTTTGAACTGGGTGAGCAGGGAGGAGATGAGAAAACTAAAGTACTTGGGGATAACTAACTGGGGTGCACGTGTATTGATATTGTGAACGCCCATGCCCCAAGCCACAAGGGCTTTCTCTATCCAAGGAAGCCAATCCTTGTGGCCTCTTACCTGCTCACAGGTACACTGGAGAATTTGAGAGGCTGTTCGCATGCCACTCAAGTCACAACACAAAGCTTTGTGGGGATTCCACTGTCTTGGTTTTTCAACCCTCAAAGTGGGCTTTAGTGGCAAGACCAAGGTGCTCTAGGATATGAAGCCCTGAATCCCTGCCTTTATAGCTGTGAAATGTATTCCTCATTGGTGGGTGAGCAAAATGGAGGAAGGCAGAGGCAACGGGGAAATGAGGAAGGGTAGGAACTGAACTGTTATGGGTAACAGTAGAGAAATGATAACAGATAAAAGACCAAATGATAAAAGCACATGACAAATATTTGGTCCTTTTTGGTGTGTATATGGTGGAATATATATAGCGGGCCAATATAACAGAATAGAGGTTTAATAAATAAAACAAAATCACACCCACGGGGGGAAAGGGAGAGGGAGAGGGAGAGAATTAGACAAAGTCATGGGGGATAGCCACCCAGACTGTTAATCAAGAGAACTAAATGTATCCTTCACGCTGAGCAGAATCGATTCATTACATATTTGGTACAGCTTTTCTCCTCCTGTGTTCACTTTCCCTAGCATGATTGTCTTCTTCAGGGAGTTTTGTCTCCTCAGGACATGCCGAAAGTACGGCAGCCCCAATTTTATCATATTTGCTTGTAAGGAAAGCTCTGGCTTGTTTTGATCCAGAACTCACTTGCTTCTCTTTCTGTCAGTCCAGGGTATTTACAAAGCTCCCCTCCAGCACCATGTTTTGAACGCATCAATTTTCTTCCTGTCGACTTTCTTCACTGTCAGCTTTCACACCCATGCACAGTGATACCAAATACTAATCTTTTGGAAATGCGTGCGTGTGAATGTATTTATGATGATGAGAATGATTTGGTTAAAACATTTTTATTCCCCCTTTCATTACCAAATCACTAAGCAGTGCACAAAACTCATTAAAGTAATTAAACTAAAATACAAATCCCCTGAAGCAATTTAAGTGTTGAAATCAGTAAGTCCTTGAGCAAATGGGTGGGTTTTTAGCAGGTGACAAAACATAGTCAAGGCTGGTACCTGTCACACTGCAGGAGGGGAGAGAATTCCACAGGTGGAGTCCCCCAACATGACACCTGCATGACCTGGTTGCCACCAGGAGTGCATGTGCAGGTGATGGAGCGACTGTTCATTGAACAGGTAGGCTGATATTGATTGATTGATTGATTTATATCCTGCCTTTTTCCTACAAAGGGCTCAAGGCAGCTTACATCATTCTCCTCCTCCATCTTATCCCCACAACAACAACCCTGTGAGGTAGGTTGGGCTGAGAGTCTGTGACTGGCAGCTGGCTCCATGGCCGAGCGGGATTAGAACCCAGATCGTCCCAGTCCCATGCTCTTAACCACCACACCACACTGGATATGGGAGGTGTTGCCTCAGGAATTTATCTTTTCACCTGATATCTTGAGTTTTTTAGCCCTGATTGTGGTTTGTGCAGAGTTCATGAATCTGACTCTATGACTGCATCTTCCCATTTCCATCCAGAGCTTTGGACACTGTTGGTTCTCATCTCCTTTTTCATCACTGCCCTCCTCTGCCCCTTAATCAGTCTCTTCTCCATCCTCCTCCAGGGCCTTATGGACAAAGACAACATGAGCACTTCCTTAGAGAATACTTCAGCCGCATCAATAAATACCAGCCAGTCTGCAGGCATAAGCTCCGTGAATGCGGTGTGCTCCACTCTGCTTCTCCTGTCTTTCCTAGTGGGGGCAGCTATGAATGGATTCTGCCTCTGGGTTTTGGGAGTGAAGATGAAGAAAACCGTGTATGCACTCTGGTTCTTCCACTTGGTTCTAAGCTACTTAATGGTCTGTGCCTTTCTGCCTTTCTATGCTATCTATGCCCTGCTTGGCTTCCATTGGATCTTTGGCACGGTTTTTTGCAAGCTCAGCACCTTCATCTTTTCCTTGTGGATGTTCATTGCAGCCTTTCTACTCACCATCATCAGCCTGGACCGCTGCCTCATCATCGGCAATCCCACCTGGACCCAGAACCACCGCTCAATACCTTGGGCAAAGAAACTGATTGCATGGACATGGCTGGCTTCCGTAGCTTTGAGTGTTGCCTACCCAGTTTTCCAGGAAACACTCGTAGTAGAGAAAGACAGGATTGTTTGTAAAAATCATTGTGCCATTTCCATTCAAGTGGTTCTCTTTCTCTTTCAATTCCTGGTGGCTTTTCTGCTCCCTTTCATCATCATTGTGGGCAGTTATTGCTGGGTGGGTCAAAAAATGAAGAAAAAAAGATTGGTGAAGACGGGGAAGACTTATAGAGTCCTTGTGGCTTCCGTGGGATCATTCTTCATCTGCTGGTTTCCCTTCCATCTCCATAATGGTTTACTGCTGATGGAAGTTCCAGAAATAATAGTACAGTTTCTGTGGCATATGATGCTCATCGGGGGTTGTTTAAATACCTGTTTCACCCCCATTCTCTACCTCTTTGTTGGAGAGGAATTCCAGGTGATCTTCAGGATGTCCATTCCCACTCTTCTCAAGAAAGCTTTTGTGGATGCTTCTGAGGAGGATGGCAATAATGAGGAAGAGGACCATCGGATTAACAATCCCAGAAGCTCAGGCAGAAGGTGACTCAATCTCACCCCATGAAAAAGCTGCCTTCAGTGATATCCAGACAAGAGGATGCTCCCTACACCTTCCTTTATGATCTCATGGAGGGCCAGGTGGCCAGAAGTTCATTCCCCAGCACAAAAAGTACAGCATCAGAGTGGAAGCATCCATTTCAAATGGAGTCAACATACTATCCAAAGCAGCCAAGAAGGGTACCTGCATCACCACCATATACATATCTGCTCTTAAGTAAGACACACTGAAGCCTACAGTATTTAGATGTGATAGTATTCACCATGGTACAGACTTTGCTTTTTAGGAAAGCCTCTGGTTGTTAATAATTTTGCATCTTTCTGGTATTTTTAATGCTCTGAGTCTTCTTTTAAGGAACTATGTTTCACTGTTTCTTTGCATTTCTGTTCAGTTATCTTGTACCCTCTGCTGATTAATGCGCTAAGGAAGCAAACAGACAAGCAAACATCCTGTATGTTTCTCCTCCACGTGAATTACATGTGAATTGGAGGATGTGTCTTCTCTTCAGTCTCAGAACTGAGACCCAGCGCGGTGTGGTGCTGAAGAGCATGAGACTGGGACTTGGGTGATCTGGGTTCTAGTCCCTGGTCAGCCATGGAGCCAGCTGGGTGACTTTGGGACAATTGCAGACACTCAGCCCAGCCTACCTCTCAGGGTTGTTGTTGTTGTGGGGAGAAGATTGAGAGCAGGTGGAGGAGCATGAGATAAGCCACTTTAAAAGAAAGTGGAGGCATATGAATGGAACAAATAAACAAACAGACCAACTTGCTCATGTCCGGGTTAGGTGGCGTGGCTGTGCCTGCTCACCCACCCACCTGAAGCGCTCTTTTGCAGATGTTCCATGTCATCCAGATGTGGCTGCTGGGCGCAAGGCTAATGGTGTGGCCCGGCCTCCCCTTATCTGCATGCAGGTCTAGGGCTTCCGGCTTGGATTCTTCTGTCCTTCTGCCGCTGCCAGCTGTGGGACTTCCTTCTCTCCAGTCATGCTTAGGCTTGCAGCCACATGTATGATGATGGTATCAGAAAGGCTTCGTTCATCGACATTTCTGTTCACAATTTTTCTGTGCTGCAACTTTTGCTCTGCAAGCTTTTGAGCTGACTTGGCACTATTCAAATATTTTAGATATTTTACTCTCCGCTTCAAATGTACACAAACAACTTCTTGCTATTCTGTGATTTGAAGAGGCTGGAAGCATCCCAGTGGTCAGTCTTTGAGAGTTGCCTCTCTTGCCCTTCAAATGATGTTTGCATCTTTGGATGCAAGTCTAAAGGCAGGTAGTTCAAACTGCTGCTTTTTGGTTTTGGCGCACATGTTCTAAATCCATGGGAATCTTCAAGTGGGTTCACACAGCTCCTCAGGAACATTTATTTGTCTTATTTACATCCTAAGTCCCATGTGGGCAGAGAGGAAAACGAAGACCAGCCATGGGATGGATGGATTCCATAGGGGAACCCACAGCCTTGAATTTGCAAGAGCCGAGAGAGGATGTCATGGGCAGGGCATTCGGATGGCTTTCATTCATGGGATCTCCACAAATCAGAGACAACTTGGCAGCACATCTCAGCAGCAAGTCCCATGCTCCCCAGAGGAGCCCTGCAGGGACCCTCTGGAGCTGTCCCTACTGTGAACGCGCAGATGCCCCTTCTGCTTGAAGGATGCTGGTACAAGGCTACCGTTGTCCCCCAGGACAGTGATAAGCCTGCATGAGATGGAGAAATGGTGGACTGTGTCACTCCTCATGCTGATTTGGAGAAGACCTTCTGCTGCCAACTGCACGTCAGGTGGGCGCTCTGGAAGGTCCCGCCAGCTGCTCTCCAGTGCGGCTATTTGCAGCCACAAAGGTGCTGGCAGGGCTCCCTGGAGCAACTGTTGAGCCCAGTGCAGTGGAAGATTTCAGGAGAGCTCGGCTGAACTCCTGTGAGAGCCAGGCCATGGAAGTCCACAGCTGGGAAAGGCGCACGAGGTGGTGTGGGGCTGGGCAGGAGGCCGTGGGGGAACAGGGGCAAGGCCGTGGCAGCGGGGAGCAGTGGTGGCAGGGGCAGGAACAAGCAGCAGGGCCTGTTCTTGGCCCAGGGTGCAAGATACTCGGGAATGGAGCACTTGTCCTCACAGGAACCTGAGGCATTTGGCTGGGTCTGTTGACCTTGAGACCCAGGAGAGGAGTCAAAATAGCAGAAGGAAATCTCTGATGCAGAAATATAACCCTTAAGTGTAATTCCAGAATATGGCACTGGAGCGTACAGTGCAGGCACAGCTGATCACAAACGAGAATGTCATTGTCGTGCAGAGTGACGCAGCCCTGACCGCAATTCCTTCCTGGGTTATTCATGTGCTAAATAAAGAAATGCTGGGCCCTGAGCGGTGAGATGCCTACCCTTAAAATCCCAGGCCGAGATGTCGCCAACAAAATCGCACGGATAGGCAAAACCTCACCTGCTGGACATGTGTAGCTCAGACAAGTTCTATCAGGAAAAAAGGCCACAGCTTTTGGGTGAAGATGGATGCCTTTATGCCAAATTGCCAACTGCTTATCCTGCCCATGCACCCAAGAGGGTACTCGTAGTCAAGTCAAACTCGTTTCCACTCGGCATGGAATACGTCCGGCAACCTCTGCTGGGAACTTGGGTTGCTGCAGGTGGAGCCACTCGCCCTCCTTGGAACCCTTAGGGGTCTTCTCTCTCTTCATCTAGCTTAGGGTGGGACAGAACTGGACAGTAGTCCATGCATTCCTGAGCTATCCTCCTGGACCACCACTCCCACTGCATGATTCCTGTCCTTCCTAGGTACGAAGTCCAGGAGAAGTAGACTGTAGCATGGTCCTCACTGATTGCCCTGGGCCACAGCAGGTACAGTGGTATTGAGAATAAAAACAGGTCCCTCTTGTTCATTGCCTGACTGTGAGAGAGGCAGAAAACACTAGCAAGTCATTTTCTATATATACAAAAAAGGCTCCTTATTGTGGGTACATATCTGGCCAGGGCGGCTTGTTTTATATTGTATGTTTTATATTGTATATTGTATTTTATTTTAATGCATATATTTTAAAATGTTATTTTAATTTATTGTTGTAAGCCGCCCCGAGGCTTCGGCGAATGGGGCGGCATAAAAATGTTTTAATAAATAAATAAATAAATAAGTAAATATTAACAATAGAGTGAGTCCGTCTTCAGTCATGACCAGCTGCCACAGCCATCATGCTCAGTGTTTTTATATGTTTAGCTTTTTGCAATGATTGGAGGTAGAAAAAACATGCAGAGAACATGCTTTTACTTTCGTACATGGTTATCTTAACCTACACTTCGGGTGTCCAAACGACTGGCTCCAGGCTTCTTTTACACATTCTGACCTTCTTGGCAGAGGTCTATTTTATATTCTTAACTCTGTTAGTTGTCTCTGATAGACTCTTCTTGTTTGGCCGTCAGGAAAAAATTGTATTCTTCAGTGGCCTCCAGAAAAACGAGTCACTCCTGGCAAGGCAGGCTAGAAACCCGAAAGGCAGATCAGGACCTTGGAGAGAACACCGCAGGAGGTGCCGGTCGGAGTTTTTTCCCATGAAAAGCTCTGTCGTGCCAGGACAAGACTGCAGTCAGCTAAAGCCTTCAGAAGATTATTAAAGCTGAGCCTTTCAGAAACTCCACCCTTGCAGGATTCGTATGCTCTGGCAGGACCGAGGGACAGGAGAAGCTACAGGAGAGCAATCCCGGAAGCCGGGCGTCGATGGAGATCTCGGCTAGGTCCAGGAAAGCATAGAACGGGGTCTTGAGCAATGTTCTTGAAGTGAAGTGGACTCAGAATTTGAGCTCATCTTGGAGGGTTGCAGAGCTACGACAATTCCCTTACCTTGCAGGTCAGAAAGAGCCTGAAAAGTGGGTGGGGGAGACAAGAAGGAGAGAACTAAGATTTCGTGATGGAGAAAACTGAACCTGATACATTTCGTTTGGTGCCATAAATAAGTTTTCTTTGACTACCAATATCTCCCCCCCACATGCACACACACACACACACACACACACACACACACAAATGCTACTGAATCTAGAAGGACAAGAATGGAAAATGCAACAATTAACATTCCAGAAGCAGGTTTTGAATATAACATACTCCCAAGCATTACTATTTTAAACCAGTCTTAAAAACTAGTTCACATGTGTCTATTTTTTAATTAAGATATAGGGAACATTGACAAATTCAGTTGATAATTTCTCCCTTCCACTGATGCTTTTCCACACTTGTCTTTACCCTCTGTCACCATGTGGTAACCCGCTGAGGGTAGGGGCAGAGGAATCAGTCAGTGCCAGTTGCTTTCAGTTTCTAATTTTTTCAGGCTTAAATTTGGATCGCCCTCAACATTGAGATTTCAAAACAATGAAATTCATATGAGCTTTTATGTTCATTTTTGGATGCAATTCTGTATAATACACGGGTCGCTACTTTTATTTTTCTGTGTTACTTTTGTATAAGCCACTTCCTCGGTCCTGTGCATTTTGGGCCATGCAAAATGGCTTCCTGGTTCTGCTAGGAACTGTGGCTCTAGCCTCAAATGTCTTCCTTCAAAGGGAATGCATAACAAGCAAATCTATCAATATTACAAAATGGTAGGAAGCTGATCCAGTCATAAGCTGATAGCTAGCATCTTTTTCTAGGCACTCACCTGCCACTGTCACAGGATGTTTGACGCATCAGGTAATGACGTCCTTCCTCTTCTGGCTTTGTTCTGAAGAAATAAGTCCAGAAAGTTTTCAAACATCTTTGATGATGAGGCAGCAGCCCCCTTTCCCCATTGTTCTGACAGATTGAAGCACCTACTTCCATTTTCCTCTCATCACCAAGAGGGCTGTAACCCCTATTTCTGCCTTCCTTTTGTCTGTATCCATACAATTTGGCCATGCTGAGGCCAGCTAAGGGGTAAAAGAAATTGCAGGGAATGTGACAGACAGTCTCTCGTGTTCCACGTATTGACACTGCATCATGAATGTTCAGGATACAG